AATCCATTTTCCACATGGCAGCCTGAGTGATCTCAAAATATGTCGAATCATGCTACAATGCATTATAAGGAATTTGAGAACTCCTTATAATGGCTTCTATTATGTAGGATGAAATCCAAAATCCTTCATGTGGTCTCTTAAGGTCCTGAATGATCTGATCTGGCCCCACCTGCCTCTCCAACCTCATCTCTCTTCCTTGTCATTCTCCGGCTGTATACATACCTACCTTCTTGTAGTTCCCAAAAATTCCCTCCTGCCTTTGATTCATTGTACATCCTTTTCTCTCTCATCCCTATTGCTAGTAAACTTATATTCTTTAGGTGTTGATGAAAATGTTTCTTGCTCAGGGAAACCTTTCTGAACCATCCCCCTCTCCTGGACTAGATTGGGCCCCCTATTGTTTTCTAATAGTCCCTTTTATAGCATGGATCATAATTATTTTTAACTATTTTCTTGTCTCTCTCCTGGGAGAATATAAATATCACCAGGTCAAGGGCTGTGTACCCTATCAAAGCAAGAGTCAAGCACAGTGCCTCAGCACTGAGGGTCAGTAGGCACTCGGATATTAATGAGTGAGTAGATTTATGATCTTAGTTGTTAAGATGTAGCTGAGAGAAAGCAAAACCTGAATCCAGTGGCAGAATATTTGAAATAAAATTTAAAGCTGTCATCCACAATATTTACTTTTTAAAATGGTATTAACCAGACTGAAGGAATTAATGAAACTGTAGGAAACAAAATAGGAGGGACTAGTTTTTACTTCAGTTGTTCAGTAGACTTTTTCCAGGTAATTCAGTCAGAAGTCCTAAGTAATCTTAGCAAACTGTTATCATAGGCACATTGCAGGTTTGTAACTTCTGAAAAATATTATTTAAGTTCAAAGAATAGCTAGTTTTTGGTGTGAGCATGTTGGATCTGAAAGTTGTGGGTGTTTTAAGTGTTAAACTGATGAAGCATGTATCCTTGAAATATCCTAGATACATTAAAAGTCCTGGAGTTCTTTCTGACTTGGAACAGAAGTCCCTATTTCAAGCCACATATTTTAGACACAAATATGTCTTGACCCTTGACCATGATAGTGCCAACTCAAATGCTTGGCAGGCCTTAGCACCCTTGTATTGACTATTAACAGGGTTGTGAGCTTTCCCATTTTCAGCTAAAGTGACAACTGTTATTTCTTATTTTCAGCATGTTTGACATGTGTATAAGAGGGCAAGTGGGGTGAAGGGGAAGTAAGTTTCAAATTGTTCTTAGATTTCAAGATGCAGTGTAGTCAACAGACCAGACACAAACTCCTTTATCTACTGTTGAGGTCTAAATCTTAAAGAACTGCTTCTCAAGCAGTGACCTATTTCAAATTGCACATTTGTCTTCTTGATAGATAAAAAGATGTTGTAACATAGTGGTTTGTGTGGCAGAGTTAATTACCAGTGTTTATTGACTACCTGTATAAGCTATTGTTAGGTGACAACTTACCCCAGAGCTTAGCAGGTTAAAACAACAAATATTTATTATTTCATAATTTCTGTGCATCAGGAATCTGGGAATAGTTTGGCAGAGTGCCTGTGCTTGAGACTCTTACAAAGTTGCAATCAAGCTGTCATCTGGGGCTGCTATCTCATCTGAAGGCTTGACTGGGAGGAAAATGCACTTCTAAGCTCACTTACATGGTGGTTCTTTTCCTTGTAACATGAGCCTCTCTGTAATGTAACTCACAACGTGGCAACCATTCAGCCTCTTAACCCGATTTATGTAACCAAGCATTCCTCCCATCTCTGGAAGCTTTGGGCATATTTTCTTTGTCCTCACTACACTAGACTTTCATCCTTGATGTGGATGAGGATCAAGTGAAATAATGAATGTGAAATGGTGAAATGGAATGGCTAGAGAAACACAGTGCTCAAGCATGAACAGTGACCTGGGAAAGAGCTGGAAACAGAAAGAAAATGTTACATGAAACTGGGAGCAGGAACTTCAGGGAAGTTGTGATGATCCTGTCCTCCCTCGTGTCTTCCCCAAGTTGGAAACATCCAAATGCCTTCCCTAGGAGTTACCAATCTCCAGCAAAAATCTCCCTATTGCCACCTAGCTACTAAAGCCAGGGCACATTAAGCAGCAGTTCACTCACACCCAGCAGGCCCATAAAACAATGTTGTTCTTGAACTATGTGCCTTGAAGTGTGGGTATGAAAGTGCTTTATTAATTTTTAAACAGTATAAAAATTAAGTTGTTGGAATGCTGCTGTTTGGAAACACCAAACTTTCTAATTGTTTGGAAAACACAGGTTGAATAGTACAAAATACAAATCAACACTGTATAATCTATTATAAGAGAATCACTTGCCTAGTATTGACAATACCATATCAGTGTTTTCAACTTCTGTGAAGTATTTGCATTAAGTTCAGTAACAGTTTTCGTTGAGTTTATGGTAATTCCCCTCTCCCTTTCTCATGAATAAGCACATCCTGGAATTTGCTATCTGTGCTCCACCTTGCTCTTGAATTAGAAGGGTTTTTTTTCTTTTGTTTTGTTTTTTACTTTTTCTTCCTTTGCCTTCCCTTTCCCTTTTTCCTTACAATCATATGCACTCAGGACTTATTTTTGGGCACAGGAAGATTTTTTTTAAAAAAACTGAACTCTGATTTCTGATTCTGTATAGTGATTTTCCATATTGATGGTGAGAAGTCAATGTGCTAGTTGCAAACAACTGCCAAATCTTTGGAAATAATAGTACAGTATGTCTTGCTACCTAGCAAGGTTCAGGACCTTTAAGAGTCTCTGTGCTTAGGAATACCCCACTTACATACAGGACAAATACTGTTGCCCTGGCGTTTAGAACAGCCTTGCTTCTATCATTGTTATGCTACAGATGGAAGTGGTAAAAATAAAGAACTGGTTTCTTCCCCTCTATAGCTTATGAAATTATTATTATGGATCTGTATTTGGAATAGACATTGATTTCTTTTGTTTCTATTTAAAATATGTTAAACAGATATATTTCATACTGGTAGCTTTGTTTAAACCTACAGTGATATAAATGGATTCTATTTTAAATGAATTATTTTAGAACTATGTACCACTGAGTTGTTTTTCCAGCTATTCTTTACTCTTCACAATTTTACCTTGTCTTTTTAGTATATTGCATTTCTAATATCCATAACAGGTTAGGAAATGGCAAAACAAAACAAACAAAAAACAAAAACAAAAAAAAAACTTTAAAGAGAATGAAGAAAGAATATTTTACGGTATCCAGAAGCAGAAAATAACTTATTCACGAGTGTTGCCAAGATGGAAAGAACCCCTGGGAAGTAATTTGTTAAAACTTAAAGAAGCCCCAAGGAAGGTGGGAGTCGGGGTAGAGATGGAGTCAAGGCTGAAGGGAGATGAGTTAGAGAAGGAAAGTTGCCTAAATACAATTAAGCCTCAGGTAGTTATGGAACTCCTAATATTGTGGTGAGTTACAAAATCTATTAAACTCAATCTTTCTTGTCAGGAATTGAGAATCTAATTGGAAGGAGAAAAATTATGCATATGAAACAACAATTAAGTAGTATACTAAGTACAGAAGGGAAGTGGTGAATAAGTAGAGAAGGAAAGTAGTGAATGAAGACTGGAATGATTTTTGAGGAATTGTTAAGATTTAGAAGAATAACAGAAAAAGATATATTCTAAATGACAGCAAAAACATCAAAATGGGTTTAGAAGCCAAAATAAACCATTTTATTTACATACAATTTTACAAAGCTGTAGACAGAAACATATACATGAGCTAGAAAAAAATTAAGGCCAGCAAAAATTGCCACTAAAAAATTAAATATAATGAATAACATATTTAGTTATAAACTTTCATTTAAATTATAAAAAATAAAAATTATAACAAATATAATACATGTTTTTACAAAAGATAAGGAAAAGATATATACCCCAGTAGAAAAATGGGCAAGTACTTTAGCAGTAAAATTACAGAATAAGAAATATAAATGGCCAGTAAACATATCTTAAGATAATCAGCCTCAGTAAAAATTAAAGAAATGTAAAAAAAATGCAAGTTTTATCTTATGAGATTGGCAATGGTTTAGAAAATAAAACTAATGATTAATACCCGCTTCCGTTGGGAAACGGGCACTTCCACACTACTGGTGGGAATTTAAATTCTTATGGTAGTGTGGCAATGCCAAGAGCCTTAATAAAGAGAACATAACTCTCCAGTGTAACAGCTCGATTTCTAGGAGATATCCTAAATAAATAATTAGAAAAGACCTTGATAAAGCAGAACCTTTATAAACAGAAACATTGGAAACACCCCCAAAAGATGGTATGGCTATATTATTAAATAACATAGGAATGAGAAAAAGCAAATAATGGGGCATGTTGTAGCACATGATCCTATTACTATTGAGAATGGATACTTGGGAAATATGTGTGTATGTTTGTATCTACACAAACATATGGGAATTCAGGAAGGTTATATGTACTACATTGTTAATTGTTCTTAACTCTGGATGGCTGGACAACAGGTGACTTTTGTTTTTTCCATTTTGCTTATCAATATGATAAACATATTTTTTAATACATTTTAAAGAAAAACAGCTTGAAAATTAGAATAAGGAGTAGGTACTTACGATGTTCATTAAGAATGTATTTTCTCTATCTGTTTAGATGTTAAGGAAGCTGTAATGATCTTCACTAGGTTCCAGGACCTACAGAAATTTGGCATGGGAAGATTCCCACCCCTCCCACCCCTGTCCCACTTGCCTAGAAAGACTAAGTGAGCCTAGGTGTTAACAGACATCTTTTCTTTTAACTTTTAAATAATTGTACATCTGTCTAGTTGTTAACTGTAGAATATGGATGGTTTTATAAGCGTTACAGATTGTTTCTGTTTATAGTTAAAATCTTTGACTTAGAATTTCAGAAGCTTCTGACAGAATCTGCATGTTTTAGATCTACATTTCCTTTATCCTTATATTCATTTTATCTTTTCTTTTGCTCCTCTTTAGGTTCTATCATAATGAATGGATCCAATATGGCAAATACATCACCCAGTGTAAAATCCAAAGAGGACCAGGGGTTAAGTGGGCACGATGAAAAGGAAAACCCATTTGCAGAGTACATGTGGATGGAGAATGAAGAGGATTTCAACAGACAGGTAAAGAAAGAGTGGAAAAGTGGAAGGTTGATGATACATGTAACTCAATAGCTATAATATTTTACTGCCAGTTTGTTACAAAAGAAATGGATACAGTTAGCTTTAGGATAACTTAAAAATTCATTGCGGAGGTCTGGGGGGCCTCGTCTGGAATGACCAGGAAACATCTTCATCTGGTAAGAGACCAGAGTGATGGCACCTTGGAGGAAGATATTTGTAGTTTTCTTACCATGTTGATTAAAAGAGAAAACAAATGTCAGACTAATTAGTTGATATCTGAAAATCCTCATGTGAGAGCCCATGTATAACCAAATAGATTTGCATGTACTCCACACCATAATATGCCTTCTAAGTGTAGTTCACGTCGCACGGTAACTACTGCAGAGGGTCCCTGCCCTCAGCCTTGTTCTGGCTAGATTTGTTTATGGCATTTCTCTCAGCAACTGTAGACCATTCTAGAATATTCCCATAATTTAAATCAGACAAGACTCTTCTCAATCTTAGAGGACTGACATAAAACCCTTGTACCAAACCATGGTAGCTGAGGTCCTTTATCCTGCCCTGATTCTACCTTTAATCCTAGGAAGCATAGTGGTTCTATAACTCTCTATAGTGATCAATGTGAAATTAATTGCTTGAACAGTAGAGCACTAAAAAACAGAATGGTAGTGAGGTTGTTTTTCTATATACTTTGTAGTTCGTTGCTTTCACTTGCTTATAGGAAATGTGATACTCTGCATTTCATTTTGGAAATAAATGAAGACATAAAAGAAGTTTAAGGCCAGGTATGGTGGCTCACGCCTGTAATCCCAGCACTTTGGGAGGCCAAGGTGGGCAGATCACTTGAAGTCAGGAGTTCAAGACCTGCCTGACCAAAATGGTAAAACCTCGTCTCTATCAAAAATACAAAAATTAGCTGGGCATGGTAGCATCCTTCTATAATCCCAGCTACTTGGGAGGCTGAGACACGAGAATTGTTTAAACTAGTAGGTGGAAGTCGCAGTGAGCCAATCACACCACTGCCCTCCAGCCTGGGCTACAGAGCAAGACTCTGTCTCAAAAAAAAAAAAAAAAAAAAAAAAAACTCTCACTGAAGGTAAGTATGTTTTCCATGGGACTTTAGAACAGTCGTGTTTGGCATTTTTCTTGACTTAATGGTTTCACTCTGCCTTTATCCAGCCTCTGAATGAAACATATGTTGTTGAAAACATAAAACAGTTTTAACTAGCTTTGTTAACACTCACTGACATGCTCTTAATCCCAGTGATCAGTATTGCACCAGGACTATTAGAAGCCAGATGTCTGAGCTGTGGGTCAGCTGTGCGCTCCTACATTCAGGAGTTTAGCAAACTCAGAGACAGGGTACAAGGAAAAGTGCTGGAAAGCTAGGGGCTTGCAGAGACACACATACACATTCACACACACACAGACACACACACACACACACACACATACCGCACAAAGAGATTGAGGAAAGACAGTTGAGAAGCTTTAAAAATTACAACTTTTTTTTCTGGAGATCTAGGTAAGCAATGACAGATATATGCATGGCAGCTTCCAATATTGCAGTAAATACCAAGCCCTAAGAAGGGCTGAGCAAATAAACAATTGTTTGCTCAAATTCCCCCAACTCTAATGTTTTACAGGAATACTAGCTTGGCAACATAATTTTAGGTTTTGTCTGTTTGTTTGTTTGTTTGTTTGTTTGTGGAGACGGAGTCTCACTCTGTCACCCAGGCTGGAGTGCAGTGGCTCAATCTCTGCTCACTGCAGCCTCCACAGTCCAGGCTCAAACCATTGTCATGCCTTTGCCTTCTGAGTAGCTGGGACTACAGGCATGTGTCACCATCCCTGGAAAATTTTTGCATTTTTAGTAGAGATGGGGTTTCGCCATGTTGGCCAGGCTGGTCTTAAACTCCTGGCCTCAAGTGATCTGCCTGCCTCAGCCTCCCAAAGTGCTAGTATTACAGGCGTAAGCCACTGCGCCTGGCCTGGCAACATAATTTTGAAACTATTATATGATTTCAGGTCATAGGATTAAATATTTCAGAGAAGCCTTCTTTATCCTTCATTTGGGAGCAGGAGGGTTTAGGAATCTAGGATATAATTGATGTTAGTTCTTTCTGAACACCTGTACATTACTCTGTTACACTATGGTGTGCTGTACAGTTTTTACCACTGCCAACCCCCATTCCATTACTAGCATAGTTTACATGGTAATTCAGAAGTGGTTTTGCATACCATGTACCTTGAGTTGGATCTTAAGGAGTAGAAACTGGTTTCTAGCTAGCAACCCTGATATAATGTCTTCTGACTTTCTAATAAAATATCTAACAAAACATAGAATAAGATGAAAACAACTTACAACCCCCCAAACCAGGAGTGACATTCATTGGTCTTTTTTAAAAGATTTTCACTGACTGTGAGGCTGATGGAAGTGGATTGAAATGTAGTTTTGGTGGGGGGAAAGGATTAAGTCTCAAGAAAAGTAGTGGGACTTTTATTTTAAAGTAACTCGGGAAAGAAGTAAGACCTAACATACTAGTTATAATTGTGAATGGCTTATATACCCCAACACCCACACACATACAGAATTTTTTAAGAAATGGGGTCTTGCTATGTTGCCCAGGCTGGACTTGAACCCCTAGGCACAAGTGGTCCTCTCAGTACAGCCTCTTGATTGGCTGTGACTACAGGCATGTGTCACAGTGCCTGGCTAGAATTTCTTTTTTTTTTTTTTTTTTTGAGAGGGAGTCTCACTCTGTCACCCAGGCTGAAGTGCAGTGGCACGATCTCAGCTCACTGCAAGCTCCGCCTTCCGGGTTCACGCCATTCTCCTGCCTCAGCCTCCCGAGTAGCTGGGACTACAGGCGCCCACCAACACCCAACACGCCTAGCTAATTTTTTTGTATTTTGAGTAGAGACGGGTTTCACAGGGTTTCCTGTGTTAGCCAGGATGGTCTCGATCTCCTGACCTCGTGATCCGCCTGCCTCAGCCTCCCAAAGTGCTAGGATTACAGGTGTGAGCCACCGCACCCAGCCCTCTGGCTAGAATTTCTAAGAGAGAAGATAGGTGGCGGGCGCCTGTAGTCTCAGCTACTTGGGAGGCTGAGGCAGCAAACTTTGGGAGAGCAGGGATTCTCTGGAAATCCTCCAACCTGGGCGACAGAGTGAGACTCCAAAAAAAAAAAAAAAAAAAAAAGATGCAGTTGGATTAAGGGGGAAAAAAGGGAGAAATCTAATTACATGCAACTTGCAAGATACACTCTCACTGGCTATTCAGGCTACAGAAAAAGATGGAAAATGCTTAGTGAATTTTAAAATCTTGTGGGTCATTTCTAACTAGGAGACTTTTTTTTTTTTTTTACTCTAAGCTTCTGTCATTTCCCCATGGGGTGTCTATTAAGTAAAAATCAGGGTAGATATATTCTAAAATGTCAACAATATTCATTATGTGTGAGTGTCGAGATTAGAGGGGCTTTTTTTTCCTTCCAATTTGGTTTTCTTAGTTCTGATTTCCCAACTCATATGCAAAGAAAATGGATTACTTCCACAATAAGGGAAACAGGTTCACATGTAAAGAACCTAAAAGAGAAACATCTGAATTAAAATGCTTCAGAAAAGGAAAACATAAAATAATGAAGACAGAAAATATCAGGAAATTTCAAACACAAAGCAATATCAGTACTGGATAAAATGGAAATGGAAGGGAAAAAACAGTTCTCTCAAACCCTGCTACTGCTTTATCAACTAAGCTGATTATGTAATATTCTAAATCCTTTGTTGTCATTTCCACAGTGTTCAGAATATGAATAGGAACAAAGATCATCAAGATTCAGGAGGATGGCAAAACCCAGTCCAAGGAAAATAAGAATCGTAGTAAAGTGATACAGGAGCTGAAAGACAAAATAGCCAGTATAAAAAAGAACCTAACAGGTCTGACAGAGCTGAATAACACAATGATTTCATAATGCAATCACAAGTATTAACAGCAGAATAAACCAAGCTGAGGAAAGAATATCAGAACTTGAAGACTGGTTCTCTAAAATAAGACAGGCCAGGCATGGTGGCTCACACCTGTAATCCCAGGACTTTGGGAGGCTGAGGCGGGGATCACCTGAGGTCAGGAGTTAGAGACCAGCCTGGCCAACATGATGAAACGCCATCTGTACTAAAAATACAAAAATTAGCTGGGTGTGGTGGCAAGCACCTGCAATCCCAGCATACTCAGGAGGCTGAGGCAGGAGAATCTCTTGAACCTGGGAAGCGGAGGTTGCAGTGAGCTGAGATCATATCACAGCACTCCAGCCTGGGCAACAAGCGAAAAACTCTATTTCAAAAAATTTAAATAAGACAGTCAAAAATAAAGAAGAATAAAAAGGAATGAACAAAAACCTCCAAGAAGTAAGAGATTATGTAAAGAGGACAAATCTATGTATCACTGGCATCTCTGAAAGGGAGGGGAACAAAGTAAATAACTTGAAAGATGTATTTTAGGATTGATACGGTTTGGCTCTGTATCCCCACCCAAATCTCGTCTTGTAGCTCCCATAATTCCCATGTGTTGTGGGAGGGACCTGATGGCAGATGACTGAATTATGAGGGTGAGTCTTTCTTTGCTGTTCTCATGGTAGTGAATTGGTCTCACGAGATTTGATGGTTTTAAAAAATGGGAGTTTCCCTGCACAAGCTCTCTCTCTTTTCCTGCTGCCATCTATCTAAGATGTGGCTTGTTCCTCCTTGCCTTTTACCTTCTGCCATAATTGTGAGGCCTCCCCAGCCGCATGGAACTATAAGTTCAGTAAACCTCCTTCTCTTTTAAATTGCCCAGTCTTGAGTATGTGTTTATCAGCAGCGTGAAAACAGACTAATACAAGGATACCATCCATGAAAACTTCCCCAACCATGTTAGAGAGGCCAACGGTCAAATTCAGGAAATACAGAGAACTCCTGTGGACCTCTTCCTTACACAATATACAAACATAAACTCAAGAGGGATTAAAGACAAATGTAAAACCCAAAACTTTTTTTTTTTTTTGAGACAGAGTCTCGCTCTGTAGCCCAGGCTGGAGTACTCACTGCAGGCTCCACCTCCCAGGTTCACGCCATTCTCCTGCCTCAGCCTCCAGAGTAGCTGGGACTGCAGGCGCTCACCACCACGCCTGGCTAATTTTTTGTATTTTTTAGTAGAGGTGGGGTTTCACCATGTTAGCCAGGATGGTCTCAATCTCCTGACCTCATGATCTGCCTGCCTTGGACTCCCAAAGTGCTGGGATTACAGGCCTGAGCCACCGCGCCTGGCTAAAACCCAAAACTATAAAAACCGTGGAAGACAACCTAGGCAATACCATCTTGGACATAGGAATGAGCAAAGATTTAATGACAAAGACACCAAAAGCAATTGCAACAAAAGCCAAAATTGACAAATGAGATCTAAATAACTTAAGAGCTTCTATACAGCAAAAGAAACTATCAACAGGGTAAACAGACAACCTACAGAATGGGAGGAAATATTTGCATACTATGCATATGACAAAGGTCTGATGTCCAGCGTCTACAAGGAACTTAAATTTACAAGAGAAAAACAAACCCATTAAAAAGTGGGCAAAGGACATGAACAGACACCTCTCAAAAGGAAGGCATACATACGACCAACAAGCATATGAAAAAAAGCTCAATATCACTGATCATTAGAGAAATGCGAGTCAAAACCACCATGAGATACCATTTCACACCAGTCAGAGTGGCTATTACTAAAAAGTAAAAAAGAAAAAAAAGAAAAAAAAACACATGCTGGTGAGGTTGTGGAGAAAAGGGAAGGCTTATACAACGTTGGTAGGAGTGTAAATTGAGCCGTTGTGGAAAGCAGTATGGCAATTCCTCAAAGAGCTAAAAGTAAAACTACCATTCAACCCAGCAATCCCATTACTGGGTGTAGACCCAGAGGAATATAAAGCATTCTATCAAAAAGACACATGTACACAAATGTTCGTTGTAGCACTGTTCACAATAGCAAAGACATGGAATCCAGTAAATGCCCATCCAACAGTGACAGACTGGATAAAAAAAAATATGGTACTTATACACCATGGAATATTATGCAGCCATAAAAAATAATGAGATTATGTCCTTTGCAGGAACATGGATGGAGTTGCCAGGCTATCATCCTTAGCAAACTAACACAGGAACAAGAAACCAAATACCACATGTTCTCACTTATAAGTGGGAGCTAACTGATAAGAATTTATGAACACAAGGAACAACAGACACTGGGGTCTACTTGAGGGAGGAGGGTGGGAGGAGAGAGAGGAGCAGAATAGATAACTATTGGGTGCTGAGCTTAATACCTGGTGATATGATAATATGTACAACAAACCCCTGTGACATGTGTTTATGTAACCTTCACATGTACTTCAAACCTAAAATTAAAAAAATTGTAACATCAGAGATTACTGCTTACAGAGCACTATAACAGATATAATAATAATGAAAAAGTTTGAAATATTGAGAGAATTACCAAAATGTAACACCGACATTGAGCACATACTGTTGATAAAAAGGCACCAATAGGCTTGCTTGATGCAAGGTTGCCACAAACCTTCAATTTGTAAAAATGCAGTATCTGTGAAGCAAAGTACAGCAAAATGCAATAAAACATGTGCCCATATATAATATTTTTCATTAATTAGACATGGTTAAGTCCAGTTCCTAAAAATCTTGTTTCTGCTCTCCTTTTGCAATGTTTTCATGGAAAATTTGTGTTATGGGAAAAGGTGAAGAAATTTATTTTATGAAAGGAAATTGTTTTGGTCTAATGCCCTGTGTTATTGGGTATGGATTTGTGGGAAACAGCAGCTATATGCAGACAGGTCAGCATGGCATGCCTCAAATGGGACCTTGGGGACTGGCAGGATGTGAGTCTGAAATAGAGAAGTACATGAGGTGGGGGTTGGCTAGACTGCTTCAACAAAGATTCAGCAGTAATGCATTGTTTTATGTCTCTGTGAGATTAACAGCCCAAGGTAAGCATTCTGGATAGACAAGTGATCTGGTGCCCACTTGTTCCCTTCCATGGTATTGCTCTGCCACCCCCAGGGCATATATCAGCTGAGTGGCTGAGGGAACACTGTGAAGTCCAGCAGCTGGGAAAGGGAGAGAGCCAAAGGCCACGGCAAGGGGTCTCCTTTTAACCAAGGGATGCCAAAGTGTCCACGTCCCTTGTGGGAACATTTTGTGATGAATAGTCACTTGACCATACACAGCATGTAAGGTGACAAATGTGATTTTAGCTGAACAACCTGGTGCTCTGGGAAGAAGGAAACAAGTTTAAAGGGGACAGACAGCAGTTTCCACCTAATGTGGCTCTATCGGGATCTGTGTGAATTGCACATAGCATGTTTCTGTTACACCTCTGTGCCCAGCAACCATTTTCATTGGTTGTGCTGGTGAACAGGGGTAAATTTAATAAGAGCGAGCATGCTGTAAAGCTCTTGTACAGTCAGGGCAGCTCTTAAGTGGTCATGTTACTTCTTGTGGCATGAGAATATTTTATTAAGTACTTCATAACTGTCTAATTTTCATGTGTGGCTAACTGTAATGTTCAAATACTATTCTTAAGTCTCACTACCAGTAACTTTTCCTCTGAATTCATTAGGTAACTGTATATTCTAATTTGGGTAATTATTTTTTGCCTGACTTCACTTCTGGTGGTGGTGCTAGTGAGCTGTGAATCTGTCACCAGGCAGCCTGCAGGAAAGGGATGCCAAACGTGAAGCAAGAGGCCTATCAAAGACACTGAAATCGGCAGAGCGAACCACACTCTTTACTAAGAGTTAACAGTGTCTGCAAAGAAGTGTAAAATATCCTAGATATATATTGCTTTAGTTTAGGGCAATGTTGAAGAAATGCAGAGTTGTTTAAATATTCATATATTTCATCATTTGAAAGAATACTACATTGATTATATAATTTTCTAGTGGTATGCCAAAAAGTGTTCTTTATGTCTTCCTAATGTTCTGAAAGTACTTTTCTCCCTTGAGGGTTTCCTTACCCAAAAAATGGCCAAAAGCTGAGAGCATTGGTTTTGATTTTGTCTCCGCTACCCAGGTCATGAACTAGTTATATACTTGCTGTATCTTTTTCATACTTCTTGAAAAATGGGAAATTTAAGAAGGGTTACTTTGTAAGAAGACTGAAAAAAAGAATTTTAGGCTCTAAAATGATTTTCCGTGATATCTGTATCACCTATTAGAGATCGTAGAACATCTGCGGAGACCTTGAATTTCTGTTATTGTGAATAACTATTTTCTTAGTCTTATATTATTGATAGAATTGGTTGAGAAAAAATAAAAATTATGTTATCTCTAGCTAGTCATTAGACACATTGAATCCTTAGATCCCTTAGACCTCAGGTAAGATCATAAAATCTTTTCTTTTTCTTTTTCTTTTTTTTTTTTTTTAAGAATTGAGGTCTCATTCCGTTGCCCAGGATGAAGTGCAGTGGCACAGTCTTGGCTCAATGAAACCTTGACCTCCTGGATTCAAATGATCCTCCACCCTCAGCCTCCCAGGTAGCTGAGACTACAGGCACACACCACTACGCCTGGCTAATTTTTAAATTTTTTTTGTAGGGACAGGGTCATGCTATGTTGCTCAGGCTGGTCTCAAACTCCTGGCCTCAAGCAGTCCTCCTGCCTCAGCCTCACAAATTGCTGGGATTACAGTTGTGAGCCACCACACCCAGCTCAAGATCATTCTTAACTGCAGAGTAATAACTTCTGAAGGAAAGAGGTGAAGGAAAAACTGGAAGAAGGGGTAAGTCCCTCTGTGACAGTAAGTCTGAGCTACTCCCCTTTGCTTGCTAGGTGGAGGAGGAACTGCAGGAGCAAGACTTCTTGGACCGCTGCTTCCAAGAGATGCTGGATGAAGAAGACCAAGACTGGTTTATTCCATCACGAGACCTGCCTCAGGCCATGGGACAGTTGCAACAGCAGTTAAATGGACTGTCAGTCAGTGAAGGTCATGATTCTGAAGATATTTTGGTAAGAGCCATATGTAGTTCCTCATGTTATGTAGTGAAAAGAATATAGGATTTGGAATGACAGACTTTCTTTCTGGCCCTACAACCCTCAACAAGTCTCTGGAGCCCTGTGAGCTATTGTTTCTTTGCTCGTTTTATGGGCATTATTAATAAGGGGTGCATTGAAGATGCATTCCTCCTCATAAAGCACTATGAAACAGTACTGTTGCCAGCATCACCAGTTTTATTTTCTTTTTGCTTGCCAAGATTGGATGCCACCAACCTTTACTTTCTAATGGGATCTTCAAAGTAGAACTGGGATTAAGGATAACAATTTGAACACAAGAAGTTTCTTCTCAAGTTATCATTTGCTGCCATTCTTCTCTTTTACTATCCCTCAAATCTGTATTTAATATACTTCTAAATGATTCTGTTATAAAAATTAACTGTTCATTTTGGAAGAAATGTACTCCTGAGAGGTCATTTTCTCCACTTAGAATTAGAAAAACAGATAAATGAATTTCCTGCCTTTCATATTTATGTAGTGTCAGAAGTCTGTGAGCAGGCTGGGCACAGTGGCTCATGCCTGTAATCCCAGCACTTTGGGAGGCTGAGGCGGGTGGATCACCTGAGGTCTAGAGTTCGAGACCAGCCTGGCCAACATGGCGAAACCCATCTCTACTAAAAAAATACAAAACTTAGCCAGGCATGGTGGCGCATGCCTGTAGTCCCAGCTTGGAAGGCTGAGGCAGGAGAATTGCTTGAACCTGGGAGGCGGAGGTTGCAGTGAGCCAAGATTGCACCACTGCACTCCAGCCTGGGTGACAGAGCAAGACTGTCTCAAAAAAAAAAGTCCATGAGCAATATAGTTTTCACACAACTCATATTCTGAACAATCTTTCCCTGTGGTTTGCTAAGGTGTTGCGTATTCACAAGAGAGTAGAGAACCAAAGAGAGTACAGAAAGATGAAGAAAAATAGAGATTGTGGTATCCAACCTGGTCTGATCGAGTACCCAGGTTTTCACCAAGTGAAAAATTAATTAATTGTTAACTTTTCTCAATTAATTGTACTCAATTAATTGAAAAATTCTTCTCGGAGTTGAACTTACAGGCCTCTGAGGAGATTTTGGAAAGCATCAGGAAGGAAACAAGAGTCTAAAGAAGGAAGAAGATGCACTTGCTCAGGGCTATGTCAGGAGCAATTGAGAACAACCCAGCAATAACAGCCTGAGTTACAAGGAATTTTCTTTCTTTCTCTCCCTAAAGCTAAGGGGAAGGTACTGATAATGATGGACTGGGGAAGTTTTAAAATGCAGCTTGCCTTAGGATTTATTATCTCTTGGTTCTTATTTCAGAGCAAAAGTAACCTGAACCCAGATGCCAAGGAGTTTATTCCAGGAGAGAAGTACTGAGCCGACAAAGCTTTGAGGAGGACTTGTCTGTCCCCACATCTGGGGATAGTAATGCACAAAATAGTGGAGCTGAAGATGGGGATGGGGCGGGCGAGGGACGCACAGCGGGAAGGGGAGTGGTGGTCTCACGATACTGTGACTCTGAGTAACTAATATGCTCAGTCTTATTCTACAAGCCTCTGAGTATTTCTGTTTTGTTCTGCTGATTTTTGTTTGGAGCAGTTTCCTGTTTTGTTTTTTTGAATAGCTCTTTCGAGTTAAGGAAATTGCATTTCCCCCGCTTCATCAGGAGTGTTCTGCGGTGTGTGTTTAAACAAAATAAGCTGACCAAGATAAACTGGATATTTAGGAAATGCCCCTCTCACCCTGCTGTATACTTACCAAGGACAGTGAGCCCCTGGAGAACTTTTTGTGGAATCTATTGAATTGGATGGGAAAAGGGACAAGCAGAAAGAGCAGGTGGTGCAAACCAGAATTTGAGGCTCAGCTCCCCCATCGCTGGGGTCTCCTGCAGTGAACTGGGATAACCAATGCCCTGCCGAGCCCTTGCCTGTTTGTCCTGAACCCCATTCAAGAAAACGCAGACTTAGAGTACTTAGTTTACAGTAACTTTGATGATTGTTGAAAGTTGTAAATCAGAAGGTGGGGCTGTGATGGTGGTTGTCACTTGAGTCATTTAGTTACTGTTGTCCTGTTCATAAGCCTGTGTTCACCATCACCATCAGACTCACCATTTATAAGTAGAAGAGCACTGTTGTTGATCTGCCACCTCATCTTTCATGAAGTCTATTCCCCGGCCTCCTTTCCACCCTATCCTACTCTGTTTTTAAGAAAAGATATTGCTGCCAAAGGCATAGGGGAGGCCTGGTGTGCTGACAATTAGCATGAGCCTGCAGAAGTCATCCTTGAATCTGCTGTGTCTAAATTTTATTTGGACAGCCTTTTTTTTCCCAGCCTCAACACTTGGTCTTCCTGGTGTCTCAATTCCCTCAGACAAGTTTATGCACGTTTTAAAGGATATATTTTTCAGGACACTAGTAAGAAGCTCAGTTCACAGTTTGGATATTTCTTCCCACATTACCGAATTTTGGAAAGGAACTCAAAACCAGCCTAGGAAAGTGAGTCCTGCTTGACCCATGTGACTGTGTACCTGACCCTCTGGGATCTTTTCAGCTATTAAAACATTTTACTGTTCCCACATACCCAGCTTTGCAGGTTTCCTAGATTGACCTCTTAGGATATGTTTCTTTGTCTTTCCTGCCTTTAACTTGTTGGGGTCTTTTGTTGCTACCCCTAAAGAACTAAACTGGGTGCTAGGAGCTGCCTTTGTATATAGAGATGTAGATGGCAGTGTGATGTATAAGAGACCATCCAGGCCATTCTCCCAGGGATGAGGACTTGAAGAGCCCTAAAGATAATAGTGGCTTCTCTCTGATTGCTACTATGCTGTGTGATAGGCCTAATAGGGAAAAGATACGTAACTTGAAATAAAGTTGGCATAAATTCAGTATGTGGATGTGGGACAGAGGTTGGAAGGAAAGGACTAGGGTATGGAAAGCTGAAGAAATTCTCCTTTTGAGCTCTCGTTGACTCTTTGAACAGTGACAAGCTAATGCCAGATTTAAAATACACATTTTTTCCTATTTAAGTCTGTAGGATTATATCACTTGAAAAATTGCATTCCTTGTTAGGTCACATGTCATAGGAGAGTAGCTTAGAGAACTTGCATTACCAGACAGACACATTAATTCCCAAAGCCTCTGTGTTGAGAAAATGAAACTGTTAACTCTTTTTCAGGGAGGAATATGAATAAAGAAACTTCTTTATTCAAGCTTCAGCTTTCAGCTGGGTTGTTCCCTCTAAAAAGGAAAGGACATTGCAAGTGCATAGAGGAAATCTCTCTCTTCTGGGACTGCTTTTCCTCCTTCATCCTCCATGAGCCTGTCCAAGCTCAGAATTCTGAAGGTGGTTAGAAATGTGTTGGGATTGCAGAGAGAAAGGAGCTCGTCTTTCCTTCTGCTGTGCTGGTCTGTTTTGGATGTCAGTCTTCAGCCTGGTTTCACAAGGCATATTTGGTCAGGACTATGAAAACTTCCTGCCAGTTTAGCATGGACACTGAGGGCTGGCATTTCTAGTCCTCTTCAGACACTGAATGTGCTGACTCCAGGTATAGGAAGCAGCTAGCAATGTGATTCTTTTTAAAATGCATAGGACTCTGCTTCCAGTGGTTCCTCTTGTAGTCCAACTCTTTTTGCCATCTATTTTATTTTGGGAGGTGGGGGCACAATTGTCACTCACGACATAGGCTCTGCTAGTTAGAGTTTGCTACCTTCTTAGCAGAAAATGCATCTTGTTGGACCTTCACTGGGGAAAGGCTGGGAGCCTCTGGCTGTCTTTGACTTTTCTCACAGGAGTAGAACCAGCAAGCCAGGCTGGAACCCTTTACCCTTGAATGGTGACGCTTGTATTTGTAAGGGGTGATGTTGAATTTAAGCCACTACTCTGTTTAAACTTTTTTTTTAATTGGCAACTAGAAGTTTGAGAATTTGTATAGAAATAGAACATGTAGGCTGGGCTTAGTGGCTCACACCTGCAATCCCAGCACTTTGGGAGGCCAAGGCGGGTGGATCATGAGGTCAGGAGTTCAAGACCAACCTGGCCAACATGGTGAAACCCCATCTCTACTAAAAATACAAAAATTACCCGGGTGCGGTGGCAGGCACCTATAATCCCAGCTACTCAGGAGGCTGAAGCAGGAGAATTGCTTGAACCCAGTGGGTGGAGGTTGCAGTGAGCTAAGGTTGCGCCACTGCACTCTAGCCTGGGTGACAGAGCAAGACTCCGTCTCAAAAAAAAAAAAAAGAAGTAGAACATGTATTTTTAACAGTTGCCAATCTGGCTGGTCCCAGTGTTAGTTTATTAGTGATTGATCTGTAATTATTGGGATTATTTATTCAACTCTAAAATTCCAAGATGAAAATAATTTATCTCTCTATTTTCAAGGGAAAAAAAGCGAAATGAATGCCTTTTCAGTTTCTCCACCTTTGAACTGCAGCAGAAAATTCAAGGATACAGCCTAGGCCTGGGCAAATGCAGCCCTGGGTCTTTGGGCCAGTTTCTGGCAGTAATAGTTGACTTTTGGGAATCACATAAGGGTGAAACCAGAAACCATCCTAAGGAAAAGGCTTGACCTTTGTAGCACCTTTAGTTTCCAAAATCACAGCAGGTGGGGTCCCTTTTTTTTTTTTTTTTTTTAAAAGCATAGTCTCACTCTGTCACCCAGGCTGGAGTGCAGTGATATGACCATAGCTCACTGCAGCCTCAAATTCCTGGGCTCAAGCAATCCTCACATCTCAGCCTCCTGAGTAGCTGGGACAATAGGCACGCACCATCACGGCCAGCTAATTATTTTTATTATTTTTATTTTTTGTAGAGACTGGATCTTGCTCTATTTCCCAAGCTGTTCTTAAATTTTTGTGCTCAAGTGATTCTCCCACCTCAGCCTCCCAAAGTGCTGGGGATTATAGACTGGGTGTGGTGAGCGACCCGAGCCTGCACTCTCTTTAATTAAGGTTATAAAGCTAACCATGGCTTAAAATACTAAGCAGCATTTTCCAAATTGTTGATTACTATTACATTGATTTTGGAGAAGCTGGGAAGTAAGGAGGTGAGGTGAATACTCTGACAGTTAACACGTGTTAGAGAGGAAAGTTGTGTGAAGAGGCCGCCAAAGTAAACAGCTTGAATAAATCTTCTTGTATTAGGGCGGCTGCAAACCCCAGGTAGAAAAATGACAGCCCAGGCTCCTGAACCATCGGGAACCCAGGAATCTGCCCTACTGTGAGGAGGGGGCAGGCCTTCTTCAATAAGGATCCCACCATCACGGGCTAATAATCTTTCTCAGTTTAGGTGATATTGAGGTATTGGGACTGTTAGAAATCTGACAGATTTGACCAAGATTTGGAGATGTGCACATATTGGGAAGGACTGGGTGTCCCTAGCTGCTCTCCTCTGGGATAACGCGGACGTCATTAGTTTGGGAAGCGGGTGGGGAGAAGAGGAGGATTGACTCCGATTTGGAGTGTAGTGGGGGCCTTGATGTCCTTCTGCCTCTGCCCACATTTCCCCGTGTGACTCACTGCAGCCCGCATTGCTCACAGGGATCATTAGTTCTCCCGGTAGGCAGAGCACCTTCTGCAGACGCTGCTCTGCTGCCTTGTGAATTTCCTCCTCAGACTTGGTTAGTTACAATTTGAAAACAGTTTTTTGTTTTTTGGTTTTTGTGGTTTTTTTCCTTTGTTTTAATCTTCTCATACTGAAACTGCTATTCATGACAGGGAAAGGGGAGCAGGAAGCCAACCCAGGGAAACATGAGAGTTTCTTGCATGCCACTTGGCCACCTGCCCTCACTGGCCAAACCCCTACTGCTGTTTCCCAGTCAATCTGGTTTTTTAGAGGCATCATGGGAATAGAACAGCTGGATACACTATTCTCGACAGGGTGTCAGGCAGGAGATTCACCTTCCCCAGTCCCAGGGGACAGGAGAGAAATCTGTAAAGGGACAGATGCACCATCTTTATTTTAAAGGAAAAAGCTCCCTCAGATTTTGTTACTAGGAGTCTCCTTTGTGACATTTGCTGAGCTTTCTCCCCAGTCCTACCTTCCTATTGGCTACCTTTTATATAAAAATAATAAACATTTTAGACTAATATGACAAAAATGAGATAAAATCTTTAAAATATTTTACTAGTTTACAGTTACTAAAATGTGCTTACTATAAAATAGTAAAATATTTTACTCTGTAAATCATCACTAAGTAATTCTGTCCTGTTGATTGTGAGCCTTCAAAAATGTTTAATACTTGAAGGATGGTTTGGGAGGCAGGGAGTCCTTTTCTTAAAAACAAAACAACTTTAATAAGGCATATGTTACATATCATAAAACACCCATTTCAAGTGTACAATTCAGTGATTTTAGTAACTTCCCTCAGTGGTGTAGCTATAACTATTACTCAGTTTTAGAACATTTTTATCCCTTCTGATAAGATCCTTCATGTTGTTTTACAGTTAATCCTGTTCTTACCCCCAGCAACCACCAATCTACTTTCTCTATAAATTTGCCTTTTCTAGACAGTTCGAATCAATGGAATCATACAATATGCGGTCTCTTGGGTCTGGCTTTTTTACTTAGCTAATGTTTTTGAGGTTCGTCCATGACATACAACATGTTTCGGTAGTTTGTTCCTTTTATTGCTGAGTAGAATTCCATTGATGGATGTACCACATTTTGTCAGCAGAGAGCCTTTTAAACTTGGATTCCAGCTTCCTGTGGTCTAAATGGAACCCTCCGAACGTAAGACTTATAGGGGAAGCTGCTGTGCCTGTCAAAGAAAACCTACTAATCAGAACGAGCTTTGTCATCCGGCGTCAGAACTGCTGCAGAAATTTTTACAATTTTGCAACTTCTTTTTTTACAAGGAACTTTTGTGCTACTACACATCAGGACTTTTGAAGCATCCGATAAATCCATGTAATAAATATGAGCATGTGTCTGAGTGGACAAGAAAGTGAAACCATCCATGCTACATTGGATAATTTTTCCTCCCCTAGACTGGACAGGGAATCTCAGCTTTCGAAATAGAGTATCCTGTCTCCATTTACAAAGCTGCACAGGTATTAAAGATCGTGCTGCCTTTGTTAGGCAGATTTGGAGGGGAGGCCCAACAGCAAAGATGGAGAGGAAAAGGGAGTGGAACTTGTAGAACAGGAAGCCCCCAAGGGTCTGTGCAGGGCTGCTCAGCTCTTGAGGATATTGTAGATGGTGAGGTAGTGATGGTGTCCCGGGGCAGCCCAGCACCTCCGCTGGGCCCAGAAGGTCTTGACTTTGGACACTTACCCTTGTTTCACAAGTGTTTAAAAGCTGTTTTTGCTTTTGTTTTTTTTCCTAATCATTACTTGGTAGTTACTAATCCTTCTTTGGGGGAGGGACAGGGCTTTAAAACGGAAGAAAATAATTTTCATAAAAATATCAAAAATGGAAAAACTTTACTTTGTAAAAACTTTGCTATACAAACCAAATGGCAGCTGTTGAGAATCTCAATAAAATGTTAAATGCATTTGCTGGCAGTGGTACCCTTTTGCCTAAAGTTGGGTCACTGTGTCATACCGTGTGTGTTTGGGGGCAGTGGGGAGGTGTGAAAT